GTCCACAAGTATTAAACTTGCCAAGTTGAAGACCCTTGCTCTGAGGACTAATACGGTTTCTCTCTGGTATGTTAAAACGTTGGAATTCTGACTGAAACTTTTCCCACAATCTGGACACTCATACAGTTTGTACATGTGAGTTTTCTGGTTTGTCATCAGGTGGAAATTCCTACTGAAATGTTTCCCACACTTTGGGCACTCATATGGATTCTCTCCTATGTGGGTCCTCTAGTGTCTCACCAGGTGGGAATTCTGACTGAAACTTTTCCCAACGTCTGGACACTCATGCGACTTGTCTCCTGTGTAAGTCCTCTGGTGCTTCACAAGGTTGGAATTATCACTGAATCTTTCCTATACTCTGGACATTCAAAAGGTTTCTCTCCTGTGTGACTCTTCTGATGTTGCACTAGGCTGGAATTCTGATAGAAACTTTTCCCACATTCTGGACATTCATATGGCTTGTCTCCTGTGTGAGTCCTCTGGTGTTTCACAAGGTTGGAATTATCACTCAAACTTTTCCCACACTCTGGACATTCAAAAGGTTTCTCTCCTGTGTAAGTCTTCTGGTGGTGCACAAGGCTGGAATTCTTTTTTTTTTTTTGAAAATTTTATTGATTTTTGAAAACAAACATAAACAAACAAAATGTAAAACATAAAAACATAAAACATCTTTTTTGAAGGCAGCATAGTCCCGGGTTACATCTCTTTCTACAGTCACAAATTCAAGTTCATGCTCATTTTTAAATTCCATTCCATATCTTATTACTATTCTACATTTTCAATATAGTTTCTCCCCTCTTTTAACTTTCTTAATTTTGCTTTATTTCATCTCAATTCAAATCATTGTACTTATATTCTTTGTCTGTCCTGTTTCAACTGTCTACTATCTTTTCTCATTAAACAAAATTTCTCCTGTAATTACTGATTGGAGTATGACGTCTTTATATCTTTCCCCTAAAATTATAACACTTAATACAATACATAACTTCCATTCGGATTCTGCTTGGTACTTTTAAAAACTACACACTGTATTTTTTAAAAAGAAAAATTTATAAATGTGTAATATAATTAGAACAATCCATACCAATTCAATTCTATTGTTAATATTAATATTCATTTAAATCTTAACATTTTACACATTATTTTTCAAATAAATATCATACTTCTATGGGAACACTTATAAACTTTCCATAGTTAATTCTCCCCAACTTCACTTATATTTTATAAAACATTGAGTAATTAAAATGTTCCCGTTCCTTCCTAATTCAATTCTCTCATTTATTTCGTTTCATTTATTTTGTTCACACGTTTCACTAAATTACACGGACTATTTTATCCCTCTTTTTAATCATATGTTGTTTCCAATTTTCTAACATTATTTCTATTACAAATATAACAATACCATCTTATGTACCGAATCCCTTTATCAGTTAGATTTTCACCCATTATCTCTGAATAGGTCCTGTTTCTTTACATTTTGCTCCAAACCTTTGTAACTTCTCTTCCTTTCCTTCTTCTCTTTCTTCTCTCTCCTCTTTTTACCCCCGTCTCTCCACCTCCATTTCCCTCTTCTATATTCCCCTTTTCTGTTGCTATCCAACATTATATCCACTTTTCAAATTATTTTTCCCTTTTTTGGTTGTTTTTTTAAGTCTTAAATTCTCCAATCTCTTTCCCCTTTCTTCCCCAGATAGAGTTACTTGTTCATTAAAGATGGCTTTTTCTTTATCCCAATCTTCTTGTTGCGCAGTCTTGTTTCTCGTAGTTACAAATCGCCATTTCTAAGAATTGAAAAACGGAGCCAAAGGAGCCCTTCCCTTCTTGTATCTCTTCTTTATATTTTTAAAATTCCGTTTTCAGTTCATCCAGAGATAGTGCCATTGTAAAAAAATTTAAACAACCACCCAATTGTTTTTAGTCATTCAAATATAATATCCAAAAATCCCAAATCACCAAACAATCCAAATACACACAAGCTGTTTCTTTTTACAGTTTCTACTTTTTTCATTTTCTCTTCCTGGGGTTACTATTTGGTTACAAGTTCCAATTAAAATGTATCTTTTAGAAGTCTTATTGAGATTTTACATTAAATTATTTTGAAATCCAGGCAGTCTCCTCCTTCCAGATCCTGCCCTTATTCTTTTCCTCTCCCTTCCTACTTATAGACAAAAAGGATTTTTTAGTGTCCAGAAATCTTTATTGGCCCTTTGGCATTTAATTATATTTTCAGCTTAATTATTGGTGCCAAAGCGGATTTTTCCGATTTCTTATTAAGCTCTCTTCATTGTCAATGTGAGGAAGGAGAGAGAAGAAGAAGAAAAACTTTCCCTTTTCACTTTCTTTCGCTGCTTCCGACTCTTCTTTGGGAGCGATGTTATCTTTTATAAAATGTAAATTCCAGGGTACCTTAGTTGTTGCTTTTTATCCCAGTCAGCCAAAACGTTCACTTCTGATCTTCCTCCTGCACTTTCTTTTCCAGGTGAGTGCTTCTTTGAGGTGGCCGTTTCTGACCACCACTCCTACCGGTTGGGAGTTCCAGTTTGCAGGGCTTCGGCGGCGGGCAGGAATCCGCGATCGTGCATGGTTTCTGCCTGGGCTCGCTGCTGGAGCACCCCAAGCCAGCTGGCTTCGGGGCTAAGCTACCCCGTAGAGGTCGTGAAGAGGGGGGAGATCGCTAGCACGGTCGAGGAGAGCCGCATCTCTCCTCCTCAGCTGTTCAAACTCTCTTTCTCGAAGGCGGTAGGAGCACAAGGCTGGAATTCTGAATGAAATGTCTCCCACAATCTGGACACTCATACGGTTGTCTACTGTGTGAGTCCTCTGGTGTGACACCAGCTGAAAGTTCCGACTGAAACATTTCCCACATTCTATAGACCATCATACACTTTCTTTCCTGTGTGAGTTCTCTGGTGTTTCACAAGGCTGGAATTCTGACTGAAACTTTCCCCACAATCTCCTGTGTGAATCCTCAAGTGTTTCACAAGGTTGGAGTTATCACTGAAACCTTTCCCACATTCTGGACATTCATATATTTTTTTCTCCTGTGTGAGTCGTCTTGTGTCTAACAAGGTTGGAATACTGACTGAAACTTTTCCCACAATCTGGACATTCATATGGTTTTTCTCCT